AAATGTTGTATTTGTTGATTCTATTTTTTTTTAAGTCTTGTAGAATGAATAAGAAAAAAAAGAAATGTAACTTTTGTTTTTGCTTTTTTATATAATTTATGTCATGATCACGTTGTCATACTGCACAAAACACATTTCTAAGTTCTCTCTACTTGTAGTCATGGTTGTGCTGTTTCCATAGAGGTGCAGGACTTTATATTACAGTAAAAAACAAGCCCATAGTGAGTAAAAACTGCTCAGAGGCTGAACTGAAATGTCTGAAATCGTTCCTCATTGTGACACAGGTGTGTTGTTTCCACAGGCACCAGTGTGACGGTGAACTCAGTCCATCCGGGGACGGTGAACTCTGACCTGACCAGACACTCGACCCTCATGACGATATTTTTCACCGTCTTCTCCATGTTCCTGAAAACTCCTCGGGAAGGAGCACAGACCAGCATCTACTGTGCTGTGGCAGAGGAACTGCACTCAATCTCTGGGAAACACTTCAGGTAGGACGACCAGACAGCTGCTCAGGGAAAACCTCTCCACAAACAGGAAGCTGAGCTGGTTATTGTTCTAACAACAGAAGGAAAACGTAGCCTGTAAATGTGATCCTGTGAAAACCGGTTTGTTCTTTGAGCTGAACTTCCTATTCCCCAAAGTGTTGTTGTGAAAAACCACAAGAACACTTTGCAGCAAAACCACAAAGCAGTTGTCACATTTAGTCTACATCAGTGACTCCGACATGGTTCTGCTGTTAGACGGTTTGTCATTTTTATTATTTTATTAGGCGCTCCTACTCCTGAAAATGTAAGGAATGGAAATAAATGTCCATCCGACTGCTAGAACAAACCCGAGACAGCCGTCTAAGATGTGGGCGATGATTCAGACATCTGGAGCCAGACGATGGACGAGTTAACTCTTTTATAGTCCCTGTTAGGGTCAACAGTTATCCTCAGGTAGCAGATAGTTTACTTTTCTTATACCGAGGGTTTGGTTTTATAAGTGAAGCTTCAGGGTCCATGTACTTCTCCTCCTCACATTCTTTTTCATTGATTACTCTCTATCCAGGAGACTCATTGTACAAGTTAAAGCTATAAACAGCTACACAGCGAGAGTTACTCACTCACAGTTGCTTGCCTTGCTTGTTTCACTTTACGTCCATGTTTGTCCAGACTTATTTTATATTTGTGGTAAAGACTTTAGAAGAATTTAATAGCTGGACACCGAAGATTAGTGTCACCAACTCTGTATCTGACTAAATGTTAAATATGGACACAAGCTCTCCTTCTGTTCTTGAGTTAAGGTGGTAAATAACAGCCAGGAAAGGGTTTTTGTAGAATAACATGAGGTCACAGTAAAGTTGAGCTTTTAAACATAAAATATCATCACTTCACTTTATCTTTCTGTGAAGTTGCGTCTGTATTAGCATATGAATTCTTCCCTAAAAGTGTGTTTTGTGACCCCACAATGAACTTTGACCAGAAAAATCAAGTCATTGTTCAGTTTAACTGGATGCTTAAAGCAAATCTGAAGTTATTCCCTGCAGCTGTTCCCGAGATATTATGTTCACATCAGTGGAAGATATGTATGAATGTAGGCCAACCAGCACAGACTGTATTTAAAAGATGAGCATAGCGACTGTAATGTTACCCATTGGTTTGTAGACTGCTGTTTTGAAGTCTTGACTTTGACATTTGGCATCTTGGTTGCTGGAGCCAAACATAACAAGCAAAGAGTCGATCTAACTGACACCTTGAGGACACAACTCACGAGATAGCTCGTTCTAAAACTGTTTTACTCTAAAACGGTTACCTAATGTACAAAATGAACATCATGCTGTTTTGAAGCAGACTTGAAACTATAAATGGAGATAATGAGCTCATTTGGAAAACATTTACTGAAATAACAGTCAAGAAAGACGTAGGGTCACTTTCTCATAAACTTCTATATAAGCAGATTTCTTTTTGCAACCAGAGGAGTCGCCCCCTGCTGGCTGTTAGACAGAATGCAGGTTTCTGTGCTTTGTATATCTTTCCTGAACAAAACTACACAAACACACAGCTACAGTTGTTTGTAATGCCCAATAAGCCTTCAAAGTAGTAAATGTAGCCTTAAATGTGCTTTTTTAAAAAACATAAAATTGCACTTTACAGCACTTTTGGCAGAGTTTTTTTTTCCAAAGAAGAATTAAATGAGCATGTAAATATTTTTAACCAGTTTTGTTCATTGTCATTTCATTTAATCCAGCATAAGGCACATTTTTGTTTACAAAATGGCCAGAAAAAACAGGAAAATGCATGGCTTTATGCCAGATAAGGGAACACAGACCCACTGCTGTTACTGTAGGTGGACTGATCATGCATTATGTCTTGCGTAGTTATCCCTGAGTCAGAAAAAAAAAACAATAGCAGGGGGGAAAAAAACGAAACCCTAATAGCTAGTTTGGTTCAGTTAAAACTTCAGACACCAGCGTTTTCTGAAATCACCGAAGGAAATTACCCTACTGAATCAGAGCCACTAAAAATAGAGTCAGGAGTGATTAATCTCCTCTCAAAATGTCATTAAATTATCATTGTAATTTCGTCCATAGGCATCATTGGAATCCGCCACAGATGAAAGTAAACCTACAGCAGGGTAAATGAAAAAAGGCAGTTTGATCCAAAATGATGATACCGAAGCTTCTAATCATGCACAAGGTCAAACAGAAATTAGATGACTGCGCTCGGCGGTGACTCACGCCGTCATTAGCTCTTATGTAACGACGCGTCCTCCTCCTGGTCTCGTTGCAGCGACTGCGCTCCTGCCTTCGTAGCCCCACAGGGAAGAAGCGAGGAGACGGCGAGGAGACTGTGGGATGCCAGCTGCGAGCTTCTTGGCATCGAGTGGGACTGATTCAACTTTTTAAACCGCCATCTATCTCAGTTCTCCCGAGGAGTCCTTACCCTTTCTGTTCAGCATTCACTTCATTTAGTTCAATATGGTTTCGATGTTCTGTCATTTCTTTTCCTACCTAATAAGCAGTCAGGTAAAATTCTGTAAGAGGTACTATAATGTGAAGTTGCTTTTTTGTGTAATAATGCAGAAATTACATCATAATAACTTGAGTATTTTTGGTGCTCTACGGCGGCTAATCCAACCAAAACCACTCGACTGTATTATCGTGTAACCACAAATACCTTTTTTGACTCTATATTTTTGTGACACAATGTGAATACAGTGTAGGCAAAAAAGCAACTTGATGTATCGTGACGCTGTAGGATACAGTGAAAGGTCAACGCAGGGTAAACGACCAGCATTTTTATCAAATATTGTGTTTTGATTTCTCCAGAATCTGCAGTTAAATTGCTCGACTTTCGTGCCAGCGTTTCTAAAAACAAGTGCAGGGGTTCTTACAGCGTTTCCAGGTCGACATAAACTTCTAAAAACTATCGAATATCCGCGTGAGTCTGAGCCACAACTACCGCTTGAATTGCATAAATGTATTTTGTGATAACTGTACTAGTTATTGTACAAGATGAGGAGGTTTTTCTATTTAAAAAGAAAATCATTTGCAATTTTTTTCCCACTTGCATCGTCGGCACAATCTGCACATTCCTGGAGGAACGGCAGTTTTACATTTCCAAGGATCTCCCAACTCATGTTTCCTTCGCAGCATTCACATGCAAGGTGGCCAAGAGTTTACATTCTGTGTTTTATACAAGTGAAACATGCCTTTTACTACACTTACATTCATGTTAAGAGTTGAATGTTTACATTTTATGTAAATAAAATGAAATATTACTATAAATTCGTTTGCATGAATCATTTGAAATCCTAGCTGGGAAAGAAAGAACTGCAGGAGAAGGTAAATCGATCATTTTAAGCCAAGAAATGTTGGAAAAAAGATGAATTAGAACAAATGAGTTGGGTTTTATCAAAGGTAACAACCACTGGAAGAGAAAACAATGATGTTAAATCAAAAGTTGGACATCGATCTGATACCACTCATGTTTCTGAAACTGGATTACTAACCAGGCAAAGCAGGCAGCTACACAGAGGCCTTAAACACCTCGAGTTTTTGCAGATTTTAGCTCTGCATGGTCCGATTAATCAAAAATTAGACTTTCATCTTGCAGCCAGAGTTTTGTAAAGGTTCACAAATTCAAAGCCAAAGACTGTTTTATAACATATTGCACTGTATATTATATAGTTAACGTACTATTCTTCCTCCTTTGTTTCTGAATTTAGTGAATTGTTTCCCTCAGGAAAGGCTGGAAGCAACAGTTATTTTCATTGTTAACATGTCTTTATATCGTTTTCTTTAATAATTAGGCAGCTTTCCACTGCAGGACCTCGAGGCATGTATGTTGACATGAAGGTCCGAGGGTCCTGTAGTTGGTCCTCTCAGCCTCTCTGTTTGCACTGACCCTTTGACCGCCATGTTTTTACTCCGAGACAAATAGTAGATATGTGACACAACTCCAGTTCTATAAGCATGCAGGAACACGTCATAGACAATGAATGGGTTTTTGTTTTAGCCTATAATCTGAATTTTACTTCAAAGATGGTGACGTTTAACAGGAGAAGACTGGTAACTCTACCAGGGCATCAAGAGGGCAGAAAAATGGCACTAGTTGTTTAAGTTTAACCAATTAGCACTGAGATCCACACAGCAGTTTTTAGAGCTGTTCAGACACTAAGTGACCCTTTGTCTCCTGAAAATGACCCTGAAAGAGGTTCTTGCATTCAGAACACCAACAACCAACAACTGTTCAAACTTGACTGTTGGTCACGGTGACCTCTAACCACCACATTCTGAGTCAAAGTGAACATTTGAGCCAAATGTAAAGACATTCCTGAAAGGTGTTTCTGATTTATTGCACTCACGAGATAGTAGGGACACCCTGAAAACTTAATTCCTTTATTACTACACCAATTCCTGCTGTTTTTCCTGATCAATAATACAAAATAAAAATTAAAAAAAAAGGCAGAAATGTAGAGTTACGATCATAGAAAACAGGCAAAAATTCACATTTCACAGCCTCAAACAAATGATTTTTTTGGGGGCATATTTCCTTTAACTTTAATAATTACGTCTCAGATTTGTAGTCAAATCATTTTCTGTCAAGTAACCAACTAATATTTCAGCAAGAATCTGGGGAAATAATGCAGGTGCCTTCTGCAGCGGAGGCTAATTAGGGCTCAGTAATAAATCTTTTTCCCGAAGCCCCTCAGAAATTATGCAGCCACGCAGGTCAGTAAACTAAATATGATGCAAAGGAGCCTCTAGGGTTCAATAATTAACCCGTAGTGTTCTGTTTGTGCAATTCTGCAAGTGCACGGACATTTATTGACTGTGGAATTTACAGCGTCCTCCCAGGAAACAGTCAGATTTGTTGCTTTAGGTTTGTGCAAATTAAACCAAAAAGATAGAGCGTGTTAGTCAGTGAGCTTGAACACAGCCCAGTTCTAGCCTTAATGCTAAGCTAAGTTAGCAGTCGCTTCATATTTAGCAAACAGACATGAGAGCAGGATCTTCTCAGATAGCGAACTAATGTGAAGAAAGCAAATGTTTCCCAATATATCAAACTTTTGCTAATTTGAATTTAAAAAACACGCCCAGAATTGAACCGCAAAAATCCACAACTGTTAATATTGAACTTTTTTATTTTACAAGGGATGGAGAAACCACTTACATTTCAAAATCACTGATCCCTGCATCATTAAAGCAGTTACTGTGTTACATAATTTACAATTTTTCCCCAAATAAATGACTTTTTTAAATGTTTTAACTCGCTAAGTATAAAGTGCGGCAGTGATGAGACACAACAGTCAGAGTTAAGTAGAATTAGAGTGCATCTCGAGTCTGAACTGGCTTCTTTTCATCTCTCGTCAATAAACACTGGATCTGGCTCCGTTTTCCGACTAGTGCAGCAGAGTGAAGCAAGGCAAAGGGACGACACGGCGTCTCCTCTAAACAAAGATGTACTTCTTTACCATGTGATCACAATAACTGTGAAATACACTTGAAATCAACTAAAAACACACGTGACTATACATTTGTACCGTTGTCTAGGTTGCAGGTTTGTGAAAAAAAAAAAAAGCAGGCAAAAACAAAAATGCATGTGACAAAAAACAACATATGGCAACAGTTCAATCCCTTTTTAGAAACATTTTTGGACTCCTTCAGTGTTGAAGTCATTGATTATTGATTCATAGAGTTCAGACAGATGTGGGTCACGTCTCCCATGAGAACAAAGCAAAAATGATGATTTAAAATTAGCGTCACTTGGAGAAATTATTGCAAAAACATGAGAGAGACAACTACTGACAAGAAGCTGAATTACTGGAAGTTGATCTATGGTTAAACTTCAAAGCAGGTCCCTTTCTGTATCCTCAAAAACCTTTTAGAGATTATTTCATCTTAAATACTTCAACTGGTTTAACACTAATCCTCATCAGAGAGATGATAAGCTGGCCACAACATGTGCTGTGCAGGTAAAACAGGTAAACAGCTTCGTCAGATTACAAAAACAAGACAGTTTTCAGAGTCTTCAAGGTTTGAATGTGTGGCATTCTTGGCCGAGGACACTTCATGACAAGTAAAAACCTTATTCAAGCACAAAAATGACGTAAAAATGGGGAACTAAAGACCTACATGTAACACCTTTATAGAGGCCTTCCAGTCGGTTGTAGATATTTTCCCTTTGGGCTGAGGTAGGAGGTAAAACGTACACACATACTGCAAAGATATGCTCACATTGCGTAAGCGTGACTGTACTTGTTTACATTGCAGCTAGCATTTCTGTTACGCAATAGTGGTTGTAACTCCAGTACGTTCACATTGTCCCCTTGTCAAATACTGCACAGATGAGAGATAACGGCTAAATATTTCCGGAATAAAGCACGGCGGTGATTCACGAGTTTTACAGCACAAGGAGGCAGGGCGAGCGCTCGAACAAAAAAAGAGGCCATCGGGGTTGTTATTCTTTTTTTTTTTTTTGGAGAGGATCCAATTTAAACGCATTTAATCTGGTTCAGATTTTTTTTGAAATATTTTGACAGTGAAGTCAAATTTCCTCCCCAAAGAAACTACACGCTATCGTATGTAACCAAACGTGGTGCTTTAGTGCAAAATATAAGGAAATTTAAGAGGAAATATAATGAAAATAGTTGTAAAAAGTTAAAATACAATAATTTCTGGTGTGAAGAGTGCTGTGTACCGATTACAAGTCATGTTTATTCGCCTCCCCGAAACCCTGAATCCTCCTATTCACTCGCAGCTCATTTGTTTTGAAGTGCTGTCTGAGCGATCCCTCGTTTTGCCGACTGTCTGTGCCTTTTACCTGGCGCTGGGTCGGGCCTGGCGCTGCTGCTGCTGCTGCTGCTGCTGAGACGACTTGCTGTTGTGCTCAGACAGCCACTGCCGACAGATGTTCTGCATCACCGAGTCCTGCGCTCCCTCTGCGGCCTGAAGGACGTCCTGGACCAGCGGACCGGCCCGGTTCGGCTCCAGCTTCACCGCCAGCAGGTACGCCGGCCGCAGTTTGCTGCAAACCAGGTAGGCTTTGATCTGCAAAGAGAGAGAACAAGAATGAGCTTTAAACCACAAAAAAATCTGTGTTCTAGGCAGCTTTGGAAGTAAACATGATTTAAAGAGGATGTTTGTTTCTTAAGCAGGTCACTGAAGTTTAGAGACACAACAAATGAGGGCATTGAATAACAAAATCAGTAAAGAAAAGAGGATTAACATGAAAACAAAGCAGTAGAAACAGAGTGCCATTCCTGCTTGTTACATTACAGCGTACAGGAGGAACAGAGTTATGATTTCTGGCTTCAGGCAAGAAATCATAACTCTGACACAAAGACACGATAGAATAAATCTCTTATCATGTTCATTACTTGTTCTATTTTGGCATTGTACCTTTTTGTACTTTTCTAATATTCCATTTTATTTGAAATACCAGCAATTTTGCACCTTATTTTTGTACCTTTTTGGTAAATATCAGCATTTTTGGCAATGTATTTGTATTCTTTTGTACATTGTTTCCTTATCGAGCTTAAATGTAACATGTGTGAGCGACTGGATGATTTGAATAAACTATCCATCCATCCATCCATCCATCCATCCATCCATCCATCACAGTGCAGTCAGTGTTCTTTACCTTGTTTTCTGTGCTCTTCATCTCCAGAATGAGACTTTCCAGCTCCTTGGCCTAAACCACATCAAACATAACAACAGTTTTCATGACCAAACATGCAAAAATGTTTCTTTAGAATCAAAATATACTTCTTTACGTATCTTCCGTCACTCACATCAGCCGGTCCTTTGTCTGCAGTGGAGACACAGCTGAGGATGAGGGCGTCGCAGTCGTTCTTGGTGGCAGTTCCCGATTCGCCGACACACTTGAGCAGCTGCCTTACGGAGCCGTACTGCTTCTGTCGGACGAGCCTTTGACCGGCCCGAATGTAGACGGCCTGGGCCTCCAGCTGGAAGTCCTGAAAGGCCATAGACGTACAAGAAACACAGCGTATGTTTGGTTTGTCTGGTTTCTGCTGCTGCTGTACTTCGTTTTTAGAACATTAAGGGTCCATTCACGCTTGTGGTTCAGCTCTCTTGGTCTGGACCGAAGCAGTGATGGAACTTGCTAAACACAGAAAACAGTGGTATGTTCTCAACTACATGTGATCATTTGATTTGTGTCTATAGGGTGGTATTTTTACCAGCTGGAAACTCGGGAAAAGCTCAGCAAATGTATTTAAAAAAGGAATCAAAACAGTGACAGTACAGTGTACAAACAAGTAAAGATAGGCTGCAAGGAGATGTGAGTGTGCAGCAAAGTTTGGACGGCAGCGTCCACAATAACAGAGCCATCACACCAGAATTAGTTTTAGTCAAACTACATCTGAATTAAACCCAGAGTTAATTCGTGAAATCTCACTTCCACCGTTTTTACTTCTAACAAATCAAGATTAAAAACTCAACTATCCTGTCATCACCGCTGGACAGAAGTTGCTTTCTCATTCTTGTTAGTCTGCTAGCAGGAATTTTGCAAAACACTGTCGATGAATTTGTGCAAAACAAAGTAGAAAAGCCTCTTATTCTGACAAATGCATGCTTTGTAAGAAGAAATAAACATATATGAACATACCTGTATGACTCTGTAAGCAATACCGAAACCCTCTTCTATGTTTTTTCCTCCAAGCATCACCTGCAGCGTCACAAGTAAAAACATATTACTGATCCTAACATAATGTTTTGACAGAATATTATCAGTACACGAAATATCAAACACAGCCCAAACACAGTATTTAATATTATTTCCACATTCTTAGTGACAGACACGATGTGTTAAAAATGTAATTTAGATTCAAGGCCTTCAAATATATTCAAAACTGAAGGTCACATATTTACATCACAGATCTCTAAGAAGAATATTTTAATAAAATCGATCCGTCTCAGGTGGATTGAAGATTTTGAAGCGATGGAATAACAACAACAACCAGTCTCTCACCTTGCAGGCGACCTCCACTTTCATAGGACTTCCTCCGAACAGCGTAGGCAGTGAACTGGATGCAGGGGACTTGGAGGAAGGTGTGCTGGTCTGTGGGGCTTTGGAGGACGTCGCAGTCTCGCAGCGGTGAAGGAAACGGGTCACCTCCAGCTGCAGCTCTATCGTATTCATGTGCCTGATTTAAAAAACAGAGGAGACCAAAATAAGCAGTAATAATGGAGCACAAAAATACGGCTTTACTTTATTTAGTCAAACGATTCTGCTACACAGACAAAAGCAGACTGAGTTCTGTCACGTAGTTTGAAATACGGATGCGTTAAATAACCTGGACACGTCACTGGACGACATCGTCTTCCTGAAAGAGTTGACCTGCGACTTCCTCCTCCCCCCACCTCGACCCTGCTGCTCCTGCAGGTACGTCCTCAGGTGTTCTTTGGCTCTGACCAACCAGCGCTGCACAAAGTCAAATTTAAAGTCAAACAACAGGGTCAGCTTTCTCTTCTAAGCATAGAAAATGTGAAAAATGTTTTGCCAGCTGCATAAATATGGAAAAAACAAGAGCTATACCTGCTGTTCTCCCAGCTGTAGGTATGAACTGGCTCCATGTGTGAAGAATCGGATGCAAGTCATGGCTGCACGAACATGATCCTGTCCAGGTAAACGGCATTTTTGCATTATTTAGACACTTTGTAAGGATTTTGTCTTGGGCTTTTTTCTGCAGTGGTCCCCAACTTAGCGATCAGAAGACAAGATTAATACAAGAGGGTGGGAGATGATTACTAGCGTACAAAATTAGGGGAAAAAAACAAACTCTGCTACACGAAATTGTTAAAAATTTGCACATTTACCCCACTTTTTTGCTTTTCTCTTGCAAAATACTTTGTAGTTTTACCTCTTCAAATCCCTAAAAATTATTAAAATCAAGTGCTTACACAAATTATAATTAGGGTTGCAGGTTTATAGCTTCATAACAAGGAGTCACAAGCAAAAAAAGTCTCATAATTAACAATCCAAAGGCAAACCTGACTCAATGATATGACACTTGTTTGAACTACTAAACCACTAGAATGACCTTTTGAAGCATCCACATGGGGATATAAAGGCCTGTTTGGTTGTAAAAATAGAGAGTAGATTGTTTATTGGTCATGTAGCTGTAGTTTTCTGTATTTGAACCCAACAAAGATTTAATTTATGCAGTCAAACTGTGTCTCTAACCATCATGAACTGCTGCAGCTGGTAGAGGGAGTGATAGTATCCCCGTCGCTGCAGGAACTGGCAGGAGGCAATAAGGTAGCGGCTGCACATCTCCAGGCCCGGGTCCAGTCTTTCCAGAATTCCCTGCAGCATGCCAAGACGGCCTCGTTCCAGGCTGGGCTGCAGCACGCCCTCGAGAAACACCTCCTCTGGGAAGTCCTGAGCCACCGCAGAGTACAAAAACACATGTCAAACTGGCGACAGCACACACATTCGTAGTTTTAGACTACTACGAAGTGACATCTTCATAAGTACCACGCTGTAGCTTGTTTAATCAACCTACAGCTTGTTTCTTTGGTTCTAATGGTGTATTCAAGTGTGCCATGTTGCATTAATACACAAAAAGTAATGAACCAGGGGCTTATAAACCAAAGTCACATTGATCTCATTCACTGGACAGAGTTCGGGTGACTTGACATCCAGCCTGTTCGGAGATCTTGCCAACAGAACGGCATCAAAGCATATCTGAAGCTGGGTTACATAACCCACTATTTCCACACAAACGTGCAGTCCAATCAGAAAATTCAGCCAAATCCAAGCTTGAAATCACTTTATCCTCCACCGTCTCATTTCAAAGTTACCAAAAACAAATCTTTTGCACCAGATTATGTGCAAAAAACTAAAAATCCTGCACTGCAGCACAACCAAGAGGTCAGTCACGTTACAAAAATTCAGCGACTAGTCGACTGAACTGCAGGCTGTGTTTGGAAACAAATTTAGCAGATTGAGAGCAAAATAAAACTTTTTTAAGAGTCATTGCTGCATGGTTCAATGGTTTAAAAAAGGAATACAAGGAAGCAAGTTGTCAATAAGTTCTTGACACATTCAGCATGGTGACACATCTTTGTAGAGTTGATGGACGCTGTAGTGTAAAAAACACTTAGTTTGTAGAGGTTGTCAAAACATTTAAAATATCTATAACGTGGAGCCCCCATTTTTGTTTTGGATGAAGAAGAAACTTAACTGATGCTAAACCTCAAATTGTGATGTTTCATTAAAATGACTTTATTCTCTTTTTAAAATTCGCCCAAAACCAGCTGTTTGCTTTAACAAGAACCTGTAAAAAAACAACTAAAAAATCTGCTCTCCTCATTGCAGCTGTGAAGCCATCAGTGATGTAGCTGTGACTAAGAGTCACCTGACAAAGATTCAAGGCCTTTTCGGCTAATCACAGCCTGTTTTTACACAGAACTGATAGGAGAAAATGTGGAACTGGAAATATGGACATGAAAATATGGAAGTAAATTGAGAAAGGCAGCAGTAAAATACCTATAAAATGTAGAATATTTTTTTCTAGGGTTGGTAACACTTAAAACTGCTCTTATAAAAATGTCAAACACGTTTTTTGTAAAAAAAAACAACAAAAAAACAACAACAACAAAAAAAAAAACATTAACATTCTAACTATAATACAATGTCTGTACCTCGCCGGGCAGAGGTGCAGGATTTTATATTGCAGTGAAAAATGAGCCCACAGTGACTGAAAATGTGACAGGACCAAACAAAAACCCAGCAACTACTTGGAGTTCTTAAAAATCCCCTCGAAAATGCCTTGAAAATGTTGTGAAATCCAGCAATCTAAGCCTCACCTTGTTAAGCAGGTACTTCAGAGCTTCCGTCACACAGTCGTGTCGCATGTAGAAGCTGATGAGCGCCAGGTGAGTGCCGTATGTGTTCAGGTAATAGAGGCTCTCCTGGTGGAGGTTGCTGCTCTGCGTCGGAGACTCCGGTCGCTCTACGGGACTGACATCGTTCAGGGCGTCCTCCAGCTCCCGCAGAGGAGCCAAAATGTCTTCACCAGAGGACTGATACACATAAAGTAACACAAACAATCAAGAATTAATACGTGCACATATAAAGGTATGTTGTGATTCATTCAGCTTTAATTTTTAATAATAGGTGGGAGCACCAATATTTAAAGGGGCGGTTTTACTATGAAAAGATGAATTATGAGCTCAAAAAACGGAATCTATTGTAGAAAAACATAACCAGATCCATAAATATTCCATTTTATTATGTTTTGTCACCTGGTGCCTGAATATTGTGTTTTTGTTGACATAAATAAAAGACATTTCCAGCATAAATCGATGCAGAAAAGGAACAAATTGGTGTTTTAAATTTCACCAGAATGCAAGAAATGAAGTGTTTGAAGCTCCAAATAAAACCTACACACACGTTTGCTCACTATGAACAGGTGTCAGTGATAAACAACCTGCGAGTAAAGAACACAGAAGGTCATCAGAGGTCTCCTTCAGTGTGGAAGCTCCTATGTTACCCCGGCTGACATGCAGAGTGCCACACACGATAGAAGCTGCCAGCTTCCTCTTGGTGTGACTGATAGCGTGGGAAATTCCTGAGGTGTCATGTAGCAGAACAGAAGGTGAACCGGTCCAGCACATTCTGTCTGAGGAGTGACTCTGTGTGACCTCTACGCTGCTGGACGTTAGCACAAAACTACACTGTTAAATTATACAAACTGACAAGCACTTTTAGACGGGTTTGGTTTGATATAATTTCTTCTGCTTGTTTGGAAGGAAATTACTGGGAGTTTAGTTTACAGTTTGTTCGATAAACACCTGTACGTTGCAGTTGTTGTGATGCATTTGTGGCCGACTGTTTTCAAATCGATTTACAAAAGCATGTACATTTTTCTTGCTTCTGTAAAAAAATCATTTTAAAGGAGGATGCACTGGGTGATGATGAAAGTTTTTGCTCAGCGACCCACAAACTCAGCAAATTTAACTTGTTCACATATATCACACAGTGTCGCATGCCCTCAAAGACTCTGGAGGATAGCGCCGCCTGATGGCTTGCAGGTGGAATAACTACTGAGGTACAGAGCAGCAGAGCGGCACGCAGCCAGAATGACTGAGCCTGTGAGCTTCAGCTCAGGACGCAGAAACCCTGAAGTTACAGATACGAATCTCTCACGGCAGAAGTGCAGCAAAAGTCATGTGTAAAAAGACAGACACTTGTGAGGCCTGCTTGACTTGTAACTGATGATTTGTCTGTATTTCCAGCACTTGCAGCCAAATACTTAGACTTTTTATCTACTAATACCTTTGCACGCATTGACAAATCTTTTTACACATTCACAAATCTCACTACAGACACACACATTGAGAAACAGACTCACAATTCTCCAAACACACTAACAGTTTTGCTACAATCATACCCCCATAAAATTAAGTATATTTAAACAGGACATTTAAAAAATGACTAAGCTGTTGCACATGATAGGTGGCAAAAATTATGTGGGAGCATCAAGACAACATAAAACTTGTAAAATCAATTAGTAAAACTAGATAAAACTGTATAAAATATTAAAACATGCAACAAAAAAGCAACTTGTGAGATCAGTTTCTACAATAAAAATAAAAGTAATGTATGGTCTGTAATGACGTATTATGTCGACTACTGCAGGTGTCATGCTGTTTGGACGGAGAACACAGTGTGCCGCAATGATAACGTCTTCATTACCGTGGCCAGAGTGGGTCTCACTGTGGTCTCCAGGTGCTGGATGACCTCCTGCAGCAGCAAAGGACCCTGGCTGAGCTGGTTTCGGTCCACCGGAGCCTTCAGGCAGCGAGCGAACTTCTCCCTGGCTCCTGAAAGGATTCCTGCCTTCAGCAGCGCCATTCCCCACGCCTGCCACACGCCGCCGGGGTCCAGGCCGCTCTTGGTCGACACCTAGCAGGTAAAACGAGCAGATATAACGAGAACGGCTACGGAATTTAATATTCAAGGAGTTTAAATTCATCTGAAAAGACAGCCTCACCTCCACCGCTAGCTGGTAGTACTCGGCTTCCAGCAGCTGATTGCGGAGACGTGTGACAGCAGAAGTCTCCAGGATGTCGTCCAGAGAGGGAACGTATTTGTAATTGGCCTTTACCAATATCTTCAGCACGTCGACTTTACTGATGTAACTGTGGACATTTAAAAGAAAGAAAGAAAGAAAGAAAAATAATGAAAAATATGTTTATGAGAGAAATAGAGGAAGACTGTTAAAATGTAAAATTAGTGGTGACATATGTGACAACGCAACTGAAGGTATAATAATAAGGAGAGCAGAAGAATCATAACCAAAATAAACTAGTTCAGAACTCAAGGTGGGTTTGAAATGTACAAATACATTTTCTTAGTGGGCTAAAAACACACAGACGGTGCAGGCCGACATGGGCTGGAGTGTTTTCTAATGACTCCTGCTCTCTAAAATAAAGCCCTTTTTCTTTTCAAACCCACCTTCAGTGCCAGTTTTCAGCTCTAACTCTTGTGCCCTACTTTAACTTGTAAGCTTGGATCTAATGGAGGTCATGTCCTGATTTGTTCCCTCCGAGCCACGTGGTGAGTTACAGCTCGATAACTACACCTGCAACAGTCTGTATGTTTTTAAAGCAGCCTTGAGTCATGTGACTGAGTGTAAATGAAACCAACACACACAGTTCCAGACAGGCTTATTTACACTGGTTGCACTGGTGTAACTTTTACATTTAGCTGCATCAGCACACAAAGTGTTCCACTGGGTGCTAAAAAGGTAATGCCGATTCAGCGTTTTGTTTTTTTTCTTCAGTTCACAAACACAGTGAGAATTTCCTATCACATATTGTAAATGCCTGGAATAAAGGTCTTTTTAGATAAATGTTTTCTGCTTGTATTGTTTCTACTTACGTTGATATTTTCACGTCATATTTTTCAACTTAAGTTTATATTTTCAGGTCATATTTTTCTACTTGTGTTTACATTTTTAGGTTATATTTTCTTGGTGATTTTTGTTTTTTGTTTAACATTTAAATTCTGAACACAGATGCCCCGACCATAAAACCACTGTTCCTACCATGCTTTCAGTGCACTCTTTGCAATAAATGCAAAGCAGAATATTGGCCATTATATCACAGTTTAGTGTTTCGAAGTGATAATTTACTTGTGGTGTTTGGTGGCACGTTTTGACCAATGTGCAGGGGAAGAGCGTAATCAAAGTTGTTTCCTGAAGCTAAAACACATGCTCCCTAAACGCCTCACATGTGGGCTCTAGGCAGACGCTACAGTTTACAGATGTTCCCTAAATGCCTCACAAACATCTATAAAGGCAGCTGTGCGCAGAGAAGCTTCTAGTCTCCACTCAGTTACTGCAGCTCAGACAGGTGTGTGGCCAAAAATGAGCAAGTTTGAAAAGAGTGAAATAAGATGTTTTACCAGATTTATTGTTTATAAGCAGAAACTGAGTGGAATCTACTTGGGACACAGGTTGATAAAGCTGCCAAATGAGCGAATGATCCACTTCTGCAGCATTAAGGAGCAGTTTAGCATTTCTTTACCTCATTGTAGTTTAAGGTCACAGGCTCTGCAGCAGCTACACGCTTAGGAAAGTCTAGCAAAAGAATTTGTCTTGGGATTTGCTGGCGACCAAACAAGTGCTAAAAAGTCAGTGAATTTAGATCACTCTCACTAACATGATCCACAGGTTTCTTTTCAAGACTGAACAGTACCTAACTGAGTTTCCTCATTTTATTGTTTGGCTGAAACAACAATTGTGACATTATGGTATTAGTTACCAGGGTTGAAGCAGAAGTATTAGTTTGTTTTTTGGGGCACAGCTAAACCCTGAAACATGATAAAACTGCTTTACTGAACAGTGATTCGCATTGTGTAGCTGGTCTTTCTTTGGAATTCGTGACTTTTTAAGCATCCAGGTTTTCTCAAGACGTCGTTGCAAACGGAACTAAAAAACACAAGTAAACGTTCGCCTGTTCCCGTCGACGTAACTGAATTGACATCTCACCTGTCACATAAGGGCAGATCCTGGCTGCGGCCAACTTTAACAAACATCAGTTTGGCGCTGAACAGCAGCTGCCGCATGATGTCGGTGAGGAGGCAGGCGTCCACTTCCGGGTTGTTCAGCTTGCGAGATAAAGAGCGGCAGTGGCTGATGAGCTGATGACCGCAGGCTGGTTGGTCGCTGTGCAGAGACAAGATGGCCACGCAGAGGTACGCACTGGGGGCCTGGGGGTCGTAGCGAAAGAGCATCATTAATTTTAATGTGACGACTGAGCTGATTTCTCTAAAAGACGATTTGAAAAGCAGCGTGGCGTCCTGTCATGTGTAAAACATGCTGGAAATGAAAAAAAATGAGCTCAACCTTCAGCTTGCTCTGGCAAATGCAATCATAGATCCTATGTATCCTAAAAAAGCTTCTATTTTGTCAAAGCCAAAGACAAAAAAAAGCAGTTTGGGGTTTAAACTGACCAGTAAGCTCATGCACAAACTCAACATAAAGCTTGTGCTCCCTCCAGTGGCCCCTCAATAACCTGCAAATGACATGAGTAATAACAAATGTATAAATGCAGACCTGTTCGTAGTAAAACTCGCTCCGCAGCAGCTGGTTGTCTGCAGAGTTTGAGCTGAGCTGAAACTGTCGTTGGACCACTTCAGGCAGATGTAACATCCCATCCAGAGCGTCCTCCGTGACGACGGGGCTACCAGCCACTACAGAGTGAAAGCTCGTCATTAAAACCTCTGTTCAGCACTGATGTGGGAATTTCTGCATTTACAAGTGTGTTTATTGGGAATTTCTAAGAGATCAAGTTATAACATTCTGCTTTCAAAGTCATTCTAAAACAGCAGAGGATGCACAAGAAAGCTTAAAAAATAATTCAAAATTTAAAAGAATCAAATTTCTAATGATGTTTTATTTACCTTCAGCTGGTTCCTGCTCATCATCTGAGCTACAAATGGAAAAAAAGCACAAGTACATTTCAAATCACAGGAGCTTTTAAAAAAAATAATTCATTTGATATTTTTGGGTTGTCTTTCAATAAACTATGAATTTATATGTGCTTCACATTGCGATTTATTTACTCACACATTGTGGTCAACAACAACTATTCACATACAGCAATTTTATTCTGTATTATTGTTTTTCAGCTCAGACACTTCAGTGCAGAACTAATACAAGAGCCAAGAAGTGTACTTCGACGGTAGTTTGACATAGCCAGGCTTTCTTTGTATTTGCTGGCTTGTCAAAAGATAAACCCAGGTTTTTTTTCTTTAGGCTGTGTGTTGCATAAAACACAGAGTTTAATGTGTTCTTCTGCCCAAACTTATCTGCCACCTACTTTAATCAAGAGGAGCAGGTTGTTGTATTGGGGAGCTATGAGGAATATGAACGTTTATATTGGTAAAAGGGTTTTTACTGCAAATCATGCAAGAGAAGAATGCTGGTATGCTGACATGTAATAAGTGTGTTTAGGTCTGACACTGTCCCATAATGAAGGATACGTGAAAATCGAGTTTTTGGCCAAATCAAAGTGAAATAATGTTGTTAACTGAATATTCTCTGTGATAAACACCGGATAGCTAATCTATTTCTAATGTGTTCTATTAGCTGCAGCACCAGCAGGTCATAGCAGACTGGGCAGCACATCAAGTATAAAAACATATTCATGCTCTTCTTCTGTATCGCCATCTGAATATGTGTAGGTTCCCATGGCAACACGATGCACACAGCTGTCCGACTGTAGCTGCCTGGCTTCACTCGGAGGAAAATCAAATAACCTCAGCTTTGAATCCATATCACTAGCAGGGTGGTCTGAGCTCTGAACAGATCCTCAGGAGCAGGTGAGGTGCAGCATAAATTACCGTAGTGATCTAGCAGGCTAAAACAGAGCCACCTTCATGACTCAACATACCTGCCAACATCTAAACCTCTTCCACAGCCCTCTGGTTTGCTAATATAGTGAGATTTATTCAGACAAGTACAAAGGCGACCTTCATTGTTTCTATTATGAAGAAGAATCCTTCAGAATAAAGGTCTTACTCTGGGTGGAAGTAGGCGTAACACTGATCGCAGACTCTGACTTCGTCTCCCGGACACCCTTCAACAGGCATCTTCTTCTCAGAGCAGGCGTTACAAACCAGACGGCCGCACCTCCGGCAGTGATGCCTTCTGTTGAACTAAAAGCAGAAAAACAAATGACAATTGTGGACTAAAGAAGCATGAATGTTAGGTGCTATTTTCTTTCCAACGACCAAAGTTAACCATCAAGCTCGTTACAGTTTCCTGTCATTTTTTTCATTTATTTGAGACACGTCACAGTATCATAAAGACAAAAGAGAAAACAAAACACAACAAAACGAAACGAAAAGCAAAACAAAAACCAATGTCTGAAAACGAGTAGGATGAAGTCTAACTTACTAACTCTGACCCTCTACATGTCTGTACATCTTATTCTTACTGTTTCCTGTTACTTAATACTTTTACACCTCTTTGGAAACTCCCAGAACACATTTACTCTTCCACATTATATTTTTCAAGACGTGTCTTTTTGTATATTTTCTTAACATATATTTACATATTTACACTGATAGACATTCATTCATTTTTCAATCTGATTAATTAAGCACTAACTACCACCTCAACCTTTCCTACAGAGAAGAAAGGATTTTTCTCATCAACACATCACCTATTCGAAACTTCCATTACTTTTAGGATAATTACCTTTTTAATTTGTTAAGATTTAGATTTTCTGTTAAGATTTAGATAAGACGAGATTCGATTTTTGTTTTTGAGATTCGTTTAGTTTTGCAATATTGAGATATTTCATAAGTCTGGACATTTATTTACACTGCCAGGAATTCATTTCTCAATCTCAAACTCTACATCGTACAAAGAAAAAGTTATTTCATTTACAGTTTTCTTTTTTAATTTACATGTACATATATGTAGTTCCAACATCCATCACTTCCAGTAAATTTACTTTGATAAGACGACAAAAAAGAAAGATGAAATTAATCATTATTATTATTATTTTTTTAAAGTTATTTTTTTGGCCTTTTTGCCTTTGTTCGACAGGACATTAGAGAGAGAAACAGGAAAGTGGGAAGAAGAGTGGGGGAGGGACCTGCAGCAAACAGCCATGGGCTGGATTCGAACCCACGACTGCTGCGTCGGGGACTATAGCCCCAATACATGGGTCGCCAACTCAACCAGTTGAGCTATAGTGACGGCCCAAGATTAAATTAATTTGTTTCTATCAAAGCCTGTGTAGGAAATATGCCTTTGGAACAATATCCACTTTGCTATTTTGAAGATAATTTTATTTGTCCCCAACGGGAACTTTACGTTGGACTTTTGTTTTTAAGAATTATTTTTGGGTCATTTTTGACTTTTTTTTTTTATGGAGTAGTTTCAGCAAATCATGCCATGAGTTGAAATCGATGCAGCTTCCAGCCACGATTCATGGATCACCTGCTCAACCAGGTGAGCATTCTGGGCTTTTATACACAAAATCTACTTTAAATGTGTGCAGGTGTTTTTGTTTTTCCATTGGTGACAACACCAGTGAGTCCCAGGCTGCTCGGCCCACTCACCATGGTGAACCTCTCCCGCTGGCAGACCATGCACACATGCTGCTGGGTGTCGGGGACCCAGTCCTTTTGGGCTGGCGGTTGCTCTGGAGGCTGGAATTTGGCAGACGAGCGACGTTTTTTACCCGCCGAGCTTCGATCTCTTTCCCTGTCTGAGCTGCTCACCGAGGGGGTGTGTGTCGGGGTGCTGCCTGGAATGAAACACAAGTAAGTCAGGAAACACATGCAATAACTGAAGCGTCTCATTATTATTAACAAGCATGTGTCTCACTTGCGGACGGCGTTGGAGATTCGATTCGACTGGACAACAGGGAGCCCGTGTCATGAGCGGGACACTGCATCAGCCCCTCCTGCAGGCTGATTACAGAGTCTGGAAAATAACGCATCAAATATTTAACTATATCTGTGGAAATTTCTGATTAAAGAACAAATAAACACGACTAAGATTCTCCGTGTCGTTAGCTGACTACTGACCGGATCGAGACCTCTCTCTGGGAGCGCAGGGAAAGTCGAGGGCCTTGGTGGCGTAGTCTGCCAGCAGCTTGTCGATGTCCTCGGCGGTAAAGCCAGCCTCCTGGCCGACCAGCAGGCTCCGCAGGGTCTGCACGGCCACGTCCACCCAGTCCACCTTCAGGTTCATCAGCAGCTGCTCCAGCATCAGCAGAGGGTCTGACAACAGGGGGAAGTACTCCTGCCTGGCTGCTGGGGGAAGAGTCAGCAACACCTGGAGGGATTTAAGTGGAGAAAAGTACAAAAAGCAGAAGAAGATTAATTCATAGCTAACAATAATAATATTCCTTGATGGCTGAAAAAGGTTCGATGTGACCTAAGAATCACTCTCACCAACCAGAGGCAAGAATTTAGATTTGAAGTACACTTTTAAAAACATGTGGCGATATAACTTGTACCAGAAGAATATTCTCCACATATTAACATGTGGTCTCTACACAGGTATTACTTACGCTATCCTTCATTACAGACATTTCTTTCTTCAAGGGTTCTTTGTTCATTTATAAGACTGATTTTAAAACTTTGCAGTTCACTTTTCAGGTTTAACATGACCAATCCCTTCATTATGTTACGGATCTCCTAATCCCGTCATCTTAGATCAACAGATCTTGTGGTTGTTCCCAGAGCTCATTTAGTGACTAAGAGCAATTGTGGTTTTAAATCTGGGCCTCCAAGCACTAGAATAACTTGCCTGTTTAGATGAGATTTGCTAAATCAATATATTTTTTTTAAATCAATCCTTTTCTGTGTGAGTTTTAATATATTTTCCTTTCTCACTTCTAATTCATTGTTGTTTTAAATGCCTTTGTGAAGCACTTTTTTTTTTGTATTGTTAAGAGAAGTGGTCCAAAAATAGAGCCTATAGTTATAGATTCTGCAGAAGCTGATTTGGCAGAGCCCATTGTTTCCTCTGCAATTATAAAATCTGGGGATTTGAAAAGCTGCCAAACATCTACAAGACCGGGCATGTCGCTGAGGTGCAAGAGGGCAACGTCATAAGAAATTACAGCTAATGTTGAGAAATCACCATTCTGTACACACAAAGAAATTTCCTGTCCTTTGAGTGAACTTAACACTAAAAATCAACAAAATCTGAATTTTTAACAAGAGTGAGTTTTAACTGTTTAATGCTACTTAGTTATTAAATACTATCTTTTAAAAGCCGTACAAGTTTTATATCTTGTTGTCTTTTTATCAGTATGTTGCGTTATGTAGCTGTGCACCTCTTCACGTTTACAAACCTTGGAGCCCAGATGGAGGGCATGAATGTGTCGTCGACGTGCCGGAGACACCTGCATCTGGAAATGTAGGGTGAGGTAGTCGGCCAGGAAGTGACATGCAGACAAACCGGGTCGGCGATCGAGAGCGCGCTCGCAAACATCCAGACCAACAGCAAAATCTGAGAGGCCTTCGAGCAACTATTAACAAGAAGAGAAAAACACAGAGCAGAAATAAAAAATAAGTTCAGGAGTGTAAAAATGTTTTTTAAAAGTTTAAACATTTGCAAGGTTGATTGGGTTTTCCAGGCAACAGAAGAGCAGACTGTGAGAGTGCCTTCTTAATTAAAAGTCAGCATTAGCTAATTAGTGTGATTTGATTTTTGTGGGAGATTTACAGCATATTAGGTATTTTACACAAATCACGTGAGTCCTACAACATTTTATATAGCCTAAAAAGGATCTGAAACCTAAATCTGACTAGAATCTGAGTCTTCTGGACCTGAAAAGCTTCATCTGTTTGTCCCTTCTCCAGCAGATGAAGCAAATGTTCAGTCTGCAGCTGCATCCTCAGCTGGTTGGATACAGGATACAGTTCTACCCACTGAACACAAAGAGGAAACTCCTGCAAAAAGAAAAAAAAAAAGTAAATAAAAATGTCAGACTACTTGTTTGTGGTACTGCTTGGACTAAACTGCTGCAGATCTGCTGTGCATACTTTTGCCTCCATGATCATAGATAACATTTTCTCAGAGTTGGCCTTGGATTCGGTTCTCAGCTCCTGCCAAGTGGCCCACGGCAACGGGGGCTGTAAATTCAACATCTGTGACAAGAGAACAGAGAACAAACACTTGACAAGTCGCAATTGAAAGTCAAATATAGAGTGCGTTACATAAGAAGCAAAAAACAGCTCAGCTCAAGTCGTAAATTCTCTCAGCTGCAAAGTCGAGTACTGTCATGCACAGTTACACAAGCACATTGTCAGATGGATTACAATGACAGGTACACGTTTTGCTGTCATGTGATCGTTTCTCTCAAGAATAAAAGTAGGTAATTAAACTCAGCCTTACTGCGTGGTAGATATCCAGTTCTTTCTTCTTGAGCTCTAAGTCTGTCTTCAGCGAGGGCTCTGTGTCGGGGTCGTTGAGGCAGAACTCGAGCAGCTCCAGGCAAGCCAACAGAGGCCACCGCTCCAGAGCCTGGAGGGCAACTCGGGCTCGCAGGTTGGCGTCCTGCACCCGGAACAGATGACTGATACCTTCATCTCCATCTGATTACAGACAGTCAGACAAACGAAAAACATTTGTTGAAACATGTCGGCTTTACAATAAAATATCAGCAGACTAATCTGTGTGCTTCGGATTTCCATTTCAAAAAAATTCATTTTTTTGTTGTAAAAAACATTTGAGTTACACTTGAAACAGGTGCAACACTGGAATTTTGTGGGTTTTTTTAATCATTTGATGATTTTCATGCTTCATAATTGTGAAATTTGCTTGAAAAAAGTGGTTTAAATATCTAGAGATTATCGAAGCAAATGAAAGATTAAAGGAAATTTGAAAAAAAAAAAAACATTTGATGAAACTAGTGTTGAACAATTTGTTCACTCTATTAAAGCCAAACGTGAATAAAAATGTCACGTTTTGTCTGAACAACAGCTCATAATAGTGCTGAATGATTTTTCGTAAAGTCAAGGTTCGGTTTAAAGTCCAAAGTGCATTCCAAAACATTTTAAACATGTGATGGAGAATTTTTCACATGAAATACTATCAAAAGCTTTTACACAAGTAGGACGGCGCTAACTGTAAAACCACTGGTACAACAGTTGAAACGTGCTGCAAAACATCTGAATTGCAGCTTTTCGATTTGCCACTGCAATTGCCTCAGACATAGATTTCAACTTAAATTCAATTACTTGTTCATCTCTCGTTGAAAAGATACGAACAAAACCAAAAAAAAGGAAAAAGCCTTCCATTTGCGAAGCTGAAACAAGCCAATGTTTTGCATTTTTGCTTTTTGAATTACTTTGATGCTTGATCAATACTTGTACATGCAGGCACATATAGGTCGGTAACAGCAGAAAAAGAAAAAAGTTAGTTCTCTACCAAAAACACTGTCATCACATCAGTATTTTTAGAAGAATGCAAGTCTTCCTAAAGCTATTAAAACTATAATAAGTCTCTTTTAACCCTGAAAACCCTCCGGTGGATTTAAAAGTTATGTTGTCTTTGGAAAACTGCCAAAAAATGTGCCATTTATCAGAGCCATAAAACTGTAACAACTCAATGACTCATCGGATTTTCACATTTCCGACAGTCCTCAAACTACTAATGTGTAACACGGAATTCAGTTGGGAAAAATGGGCCAAATCGAATAATAACAAAAAAAAAGCCAAAAATTAACTGTTTTCATGAGATGGCTTCTGTAAAAAAATAAATATTGTGCTTTCTTCTGTGCAGCCAGACAGCTATTAGTGACTTAGCTGCGTCTAACAGTCACATGCTGAAAATTCTGGTATTTTTTTGACTGAATTGGTATGAACTGCAGGCTGTGTTTACAGAGAGGAGCAAGTGAGGAAACAGACCAAAAATCTAAATAATTAGATATCTACAGCATGTGGAGCTCCATTTGTTGTCCAGTGCTGGTTACACTTGTAGGCTTTTGCAGATTTCAGGTGTTTGCAAATTTTGAAAAGTAAACAATCAACCTTGGCTTTTCTTTTTCTTAAGATTTATGGCACTACAACTTTGTTATGCTGCACAGAAGGCGTTCTCTCTACATCTTTGTGCTTGTGCTGCTTCCGTAGAGGTGCAGAACTTTATATTGTGGCATAAAATGAGCACACGGAGGGTAAATCTGTAACAGGTGCAATAAAACACTCAGAACCTTGTTGGTCCGGAGACATCCTAAACATCCTTCCTCACCTTCCAGAGCAGCGTAGGCCAGTAAGCGGTCTCTTAGCGCCCCCTCCTGGCTGCCACCTTGCCCGTAGAGCTCCAGTAGACTGAGGGCTCGGCCCAGGTCTCTGGAGGCCAGAGCTTTCTGGAAGGCCTCAGCAGCCACAGCCTGAGAAACCTCCTCCTGAGGCCCAGACAGCAGGAGGCTGATGAGGGGCTTCCCGCAGACGACGGCACCAAGTCCAGCTGAGCTCTCCTCACCTTCGCCCATCGGGGTTCCCAGCACTGGTTCAGCCATGGTCTGCAGGTAGGCTCGGAGGATAGGGAACTCCTTCAGGAGGTTGTCAGCCTCTCGAGAAATCTGCTCACCATCCAGGACGACCTCTTTGCGGCCACTGCGGAAATATCCGGACCACCCAGAGGACTGTGTCCGAGCAGGTTCTCCTTTACAGGCCGTCAGACAAGCCAGTGTGGCCAGTAAAGGAGAGCGAGACTTCAGGAAAGACAGGGCTGACGGTGTGAGGAGGAAAGAACTCGAGGAAGATGAAGAAGAAGAAGAAGACGAAGAGGAGGATGGTGGAGATGTGGAGAAGTTGGTGGGCGTGGTGGAGTGGTCGTCCACTGAGACCTCGGACTCGGAGCTCGCGTCTGACTGAGGCTCTGTGATTCCCAGAGTCGTCACGTGATCCTGAGCATGTTGTTGGAGCAGAAGAGACAAAGTGGAAACACTGAAGGGTCCATCGTCTCTCCTGACCTGAGCGGAGTCTCTGTCGTCACCCAGACAGGAGATCCACACAGGAAGAGTCTCGCAGCATCGCTGGACGATCACCTGCTGGACGCTCAGTCGCAGACCTTCCTGCTGCATCAGCGACAGAACTCTGGAGGCGACAGAAGAGAAGCTAGCCAAGCTGCTGCGCTCACACAAAAAGTAGGAGGGACCAAGTTTGATCTAATTTTTCATCTATATCATCTTGAAAGCTGAAAATTTTAACTTTCAGAGCACATTAAAGCCTCAACTTTCACCTCTCACATCGTTGGGGTTCAGTCAAGTGTCATATTTAACATTTATTAAGTTCTTTAATGGAGTTGTAAACTGGAACAACTCATTTCTAAACAGCACGTAATAGCAGTAGTTGTAACACTAATGATGATGATAATAATAGTAACAATAACAATAAAAAAAGTCAGATTAGCAAATACTTAAAGAAATTCAAACAAACGATTATGATGCAAAATAAAAAAGACAAATCAGTAAAGTCAAGTCAACTTCCTCTATATAGTTATTAGAAAAACAGCCAAAAGATTACAATTTGTGCCACAAAAGCATCCTCCTAAGTGTAAATACAGGGTTAGGATTTCAAAGTGGCGTGATTTTAAATGAGTAATTCACATATTAGGAATTAAAGCCCTACAAAGGTTAAATAAAATATTACTTTACCAGACTATGATGTGTATTAAGACTGAGACTCTACAGTTTTTCATATACATATTTCAGAGTTGCATTTTAGTTTCATCACCATAAACTATATTTGTAAGATTTGACACCAGCTTTCTATTGTCAATTTCAGAGGATATTCACATAAGGTATTCCTGGCAACACCAAAGAAAAGCAAACTCAGTGGAAGGTAAGGAATGATATTGCATGTAAAATACAGGTTTGCGGGGAATGAATCTGGTGCGTACCTGTCAGGAGCCACCTGTCGGTCAAACAGCAGGTGGGAGAAAAGCTGAAATGGGGTTTGAAGCAACACCAGCAGCGGATTCCCAAGTTTCACTTCACTGTTGTGGTCTGAGGGAAACAATATGAGAGGTGAATCAGAAGAGGACCAGGTGTAGGAGGACAAAGGACAGTCACAGTTTAGTTAGAATGACTGTAACTTGGTATAAAAGTCGGCTTGATAACTTGCAATAATGAGAGCAAGTAACAAAAGTTACGACTGACATGATGGGGTGAATATAAAACACTGTGCACTGAAACTGCTTGTTTGTTGTCAGAAGGTGCAATCATCAAATGCTTTCCGATCAGCGTCTCTTTTCCAAAAGAACCCAAAAAGCTTCAACTTGATCTTCCCTCAGCAACATTTTAATCATTTAGAAATCCTTTTACCTTCCGAGCCAAGGCTCCGCACCAACACCGACGCCAGCGTGTTGACGTAGTCGAAGAAGCTGCGCACGTAATCTGGTCTGGCGAGCACTCCGTCCGGCTCGAAGGGGCAGAGCTGGTCCAGAGAACGGAGCAGCTGCTTCATGCTGGAGCGAACCGGGTGAGCGTCCAGCTCGGACTGCTTCAGACTGGCCTGTTCAACCAGGAGCGCCAGGAGAGCGCTGCCCACAATGCCGTCTGGTAAATGAGATAAAGAAAAAACAAGAGAATAGTGAAAAACAGCAGAGGTGGTCGAACTCTGGCTCCCTGCACTGGCTTCCACTTATATATAGAAATAAATGTAGGGTTCTACTTATTGTCTTTATGTCTCGGAATCATCTGAGACCAAAATATATCAGATATATTGATCCTGGTGGATCTCTGAGGGAATAATCAGTTAGTGGTGCCCAGAGTTCAGACCAGAAAAAATGGCGTTGAATCACTTTGCTGCTGGAACCAACTTTCACTTAGATTTTAGATTTTCTAGCTGTTTCAGTCGATGAACCTGTGTGAATTTCATCCAATTTGTCTGTCTGTCATTTTGATTATTATTTATTATGATTATGATTAATTATTTTAATTTGGATTTTACTTTATTTTTATTATGTTTCACATTTGATTGTAAAGCACTTTCACAATGTATCTCTCATGCTTTACTTTTCTTATCTCGTTTTAGTCAGTTTCAATTATTCTATAAACCTTCATGCACCTGATAAAATGTGCTTGTGTTGCTTTTAATTTTTTTAATTAGTTTTAAATTAATTGAGTTTTTCCATTTGCCTGTAAAGCACTTTGAATAAGTTATGCGTAAGTGCTTTTTAAATAAACTTGTTTGTGTGCTTATTTTTATGTATTTTATTATTTTATTGTGTTTGGTATGTATAAAAGCATTATAAAGTCATAGAAGGTTAAACTAATTATGTTTAGAGGGGCTGATATTCCATAAAGTTACGGTGAAGTCATACATTTTCAAGAAAAACACTAAAATTCTCAGACATCAAATTCACAAATTTACAAAAAAATGAAATAAAATCTGAAAAGTTTTTTGCTTGTTTGTTTGGTTGTTGGTTTTGGTTGAGGAACCACGTGGCTTCACTTTGCAAGTCTGGATCAACATCATCACACCAGACGCTGCCACTTGAAGTGATGTATCACGCCAGCAGTGGATGACATAATCAAATTCTACTTTGAAATTGGATTTAGTGATAAGGAAATACTCGTGATTTTAGCAAAGAATCACCACATTAAAAACATCCGGACTTTAAAGAGACGTTGCTGTGATCTGGGCCCAATTAGAAGAAAACAACATTCTGATTTGGAGAAAGTGGAAGTTTTCAGGACAACAACAAACAACACAGCTGTAAGGTCAAGCTCCATGATGATGCACCACCTTACAAATTACACCTACGTTACTTACTAATTTAAACTAACTGCAGCTATTTTTATCTCTTACACATCACAATTAATGAATTTTGTCTCTGGAATTTAATTCCATTTTTGTATCTGTAGTGTATTGTGGTTTTATGAAAATAAAAGATGTGTATTTTAATTGTACTGTGTATTTAAAGGACAAGAATCAAAAATGAGCAACAGCTATAAACTCTTTGTGCAAAGCCTCAATTTCATGATCTGTGTTCGAACCATATTAAACTGCATGATCACTAATAATAAAAAAAAAGTAAAAATCAAACTAACGTGGGCACTTACTATGACACTACCTGCTCACGGCTGGTTTCTATGATTTAATAAGGTTAGTCCAAAAATTCCAAGTAGAGCAATTTAAATCTTCACTAAAAAAAAAAGGAGTTTTTCGGGGGAAATTTCTAACTATCGAAGAAAATATCCTTTTTTTTCCCTCTAAACTTGTAGTTTTCCATAAAAATGTTAATTTTCATGCTATTTCCACCCCTAAAATGGTCCTAATATGCCATCATAGACAATATACATGATGGGAGAACATACAACTCATTTAAAGTAAAACATTAAAACCCAATCTGACTGCCAACACACACTGTACGCCAACTTTACTGCCTCTTGACATCCATGTGAGCAGTGCCGACCTGTGCCGTCTGTAGCGGTGCTCAGATTGTGCAGGGTGCTCTCCAGACGCTGAGCGAGGCTGAGCCGAGCGGAAATACACTCTTCGGTCAGTGCTGGGTGGCAGCAGAGCAGCACCTCCTGGATGCAGCAACCAAATGGGCCAGAAAACACCTGGTCGTCCCCGCCGGCTTCTACGAACAAGAGTGGATCAGTAACACAGGAACTATTCTGTAAATAATTTATCTATAAAATGTGAATTAGATCCATTGCTGACACGCTATTGCCAACTAAAAAACATTTAATATAATTTTAGCTTCTGTAAGATAAATGTGAGCCTGACTTGAGTGTTTGCGTTCACCTGTTTTGACGGAGCCTTTATGAGTGGATGAATGATTCAGGATCTTGCTTATCTGATGTAATATCATTGGAAATCCACAGATCCCTTCAGCATGAGGCACTTTAGGGTCAACTCTTACTCCTGGGGAAGCAGACAGGGATGTCAGATGCACAAAAAAACATAAAATTGTATTTGGTTTTGAACCTGCAGCATCCAGAGCGTCATACCTCGAGCCTCCAGGCTGCTGTTGAGTCGGCGCTCCGCCGTGTCCAGCAGCTGCCGAGACGTCTTCCAGAGCTGACAGTGGCAGCAGGCCAGGTCGAAGGCAGCCATGGCAGACGGGCTGAGTTCCGCCAGCAGCGTGTACAGGAGGTCAGGGGCATCTGAAGAGCAGCGGCTCAGCCAGTAGCCTTCCTCCAGTGAGGGCAGCGGGTGAGCAGGGGTGCTGAGGAGACGGTCCGCTATGTCGGAGATGGAGTAGAAGGCCACACCTGGAGGGGAACGAGTCGGATCTATGAGTCATCTACCATGCATGGTGCTTTGTTTTGTCAATACAAGTATTCAAGGTTAAAAAAAAAAAAAGTTTGTGTGTACATGTAATATGAACAAATGTACATAATAAAATAAAACTGCAATATAACCGTAACCCTCTAGAGCCCATAACCTGCCAGTGGGTTTGAAATGCATTCTATCTTAAAAAACTAGCCAAAATTCTATCATTATCTAGAGCCAGAAACAACAAAAAACTAAGAATACTGGACAATTCTTTAACTAATCATGTGTAACATGGATTAGTCAGAAAATGAACCAAAACTTCATCATAATCGTGTTATTCAACGTGCCTCATTTCAAATTTAGTTTTCACTGTCAGATTTAGTAAAAAACAACAAATTCTGCATCCTTGGAGCAACTGAAAAACCCAACAGTCACATGACAAAAGTTATGGGATTTGTTTTAGGAGACAAGTAAAAAAATTAATAAAATACAAGCAGTAAAATGTCTATAGTATGTAGAGCCATTATTTTTTTCCAGTCTTGGCAACACTTGTGGGCACTTAAAAAATGTCATAAGTGATGATTTCAGAAATTAAACTTTCGTTATTTTATGATTTGATATGCACAGAAGACATTTGAGTTCTCACTTCTTGTAACCATAGTTGTGCTGTTTCTATAGAGGTGCAGGACTTTATATTGCAGTGAAAAATAAATAAACAGTGAATAGAAATGTAACAGGAGCAAACACACAGAAACTGCTTGTGTGTGATTCAGAGGATAAACTGCGAGCGCACATCACTTTATCAAGAAAAACAGCAACGGACCAAAGCATTAAAGGGTAAAAATCAGGTAGAACAATGGTTCATCTTGCATTTATGAGTCTATTTTAATACCTTTTCTAAACAACTAGCATTAATGTATGACTGCATGTAAGTAGACACGGATCCAAATAAACAATGCAACTTGGAAATCATACTGATTTGGGGGAACAAAGTGGACAAGACCAACTTTTACTGCTGAAATGAAGAACCACACTGCATTTTATCAGCAGGAGACAGAAAAAAGTCAGACATTAACGTCAAACCTGCAGCAGCAGCACTTCCAATCGCCTGCAGCGTTGATCGGCCGCTGCTGCCCAGACGGCCCCTCCCTGGGCCTGGTGCAGCTGCTGAACCCAAACCCTCCGAAGAGGACGAGGACGAAGACATGGACTGGTGCTCCATCTTCTGCTCCACCTGCCCCAGCTCCACCAGCACTTCTTTGTAGCGCTCCATGAACACGAGCTCGCCACAACAGGCCGACGCCTCCAGATCAAACACCACAGACACCTGCAGGGAAGCCAAGAAATGTGGAGAGTATAAGGGATGATAGTGTTATTTGTAATATTCAGTTTATGGTAGAAACAGTGATGGTAAAACAGGAGGTTCGGGGTTTTTTTGTGGGTCCAGCTTGGACACAGACCTGATGTGCTTCCATGAAGTTTCCTCTGCGGATGCAGGACATGAGCAGAGACTCTGGAGGCGACAACATGGCAGGAACCAGCCAGCTGTGGGAACCTCCACACGGACAAAACTCCAGTTCAACACAAGCTGCTGCCGGTCCGCCTCCTCCATCTGACAAAGGGTGAATTAAAACTGATAAATCAACAGAAATAACCATTGTTTTCCTAATATCTACTTAGAAATTTGTGCAAATTCTCTATTTTCCTACATACAGAATAACCCTGTGCAATGTTGTAACTGCACACGCTTAGCAGAATCTGTGCAATATCTGAGTTTCTACATTTGAAAGCACCACATTTGTAAAATATCAACACTACTCGTGCAAATTTCTTTTTTATTTTACATGATTTTTAATTTTTTTTAACTACACCTTTCGCTACACTGCAAATCTCCCAGATGTAGCATTAATAAAGGCTTATCTCATTAGATAAATTTGTAACGTCAGCCTTATTTCTCTACTGAAAAGCACTTCAGGTTAACGTCTGTTCTTTTTAATGTTCTACAGTATTTAAATAATAGTGACTTGATTTTGTGAAAACAATTAGACTGAATGTGCTTTACAGTGACCAAATCAGAGCATGTACGTATATAAGAGACAGACTGGTTTTATGTCTTACCTGATGCACTCGTGCTAACTTCTCCATTATGTTTCTCTACAGAGGAGTGTCTCTCTATTGAATGCCTCCCTGGTTTCCTCCTCCTCCTCAGGCTCGAGCGCTTGCTGCGTCCCAGAGACGTGGCAGCACAACTGACTGCTGACATCTGGAGAGGGCTTTCTGAACCTGTGAGTACATTTACCTTTAGAGCTCAAAGAATGTTCGGCCGACACACAGGATATTAAAACGAGCCACTAGTCAAACGTTTTGTGGGTTTGAGGTGAATAGAAATGTCCTTGGCTCACCACTTCCGCTGCCCTGGTTGCTGGTGATGATCTGCAGCCTCCACTGAGCCTCCGCGGTCCGTTTGGACAGCCTCTGCAGCCGAGCCCCGAACGTCTCGGGGGTCACCGAGCAGCCCAGGCTCGCCGCCGCCTCGGCCTCTCGAGGCAGCGCTCTTCCCGCCTCCTGTCCCTCCTGCTGACCCACCACACACATGCCCTCCAGCCCTTCCTTCAGCAGCTTCAGAAAGCCCTCCATGGCAGTCACGTCGACCAGAAAGCCCCTGCAGCCCTGGATGAAGTGTCCCAGGTCCAGGTGATGACGGTGGGCTGCTGCTGGGCTTGAATGCAGCTTCTGGTTCTCCTTCCTTCTGTCCTCAGTCTCACCAGTCTTTGCTTTAGTGTCCGACTCTACATATGAGTTTCTTGTATTTGATAACTTGTCTAACTGAGTGTCATTCCCTGTGCTCAGATTAGAGTTTGTGTCCTTTTGAAACTGTTGGGCAAAGTCAGCGGTGGACAGAAAGAGGAGGGAGAAGATATTCTCCAGGAGCTCCAGGCGGAACATGGCAGGCACAGTTTCTAGGTAGAGCTGACACTCCGACAGGTAGTGCTGGAACACCAAACTGCAACCTGGGAACCACAACAAAAAGACAATAACAACGTCAGCATGTTGTTCAGAACTATGCAAGACAAAAAAGACAGTTCACAGAGTTCAAAAATAGACGAAAATCAAAAAAATTGCCCAAAAAAACACCATTTATATGATTAGAGAAATTGCAAAACAGAAAGAATCAGCAATTTTAAACTTTCCAATGGTCCTTGAACCCATCGTCTGATGGCAAAATTGAAGTGAAATTGTCTTAAAAAATTGGGAAATAGAAACAGTTTGTACCAGATCCTGTAAAAAAAAAAAAAGAAAGGTATGTGTTCCTCTGTGAAACTGCAAAGCCATTAGTGACTCATCTCATCTTATGTAGAGTCAAAATGTTGATTCCAGTTTGTTTTTTTTCACTTATTGTAAGATAAATATTAAAGGAAATTAAACTTTCTTTTTTCCCCCTGTTTTATGGCATTATAACTGTGTCATACTGTAAAGAAGACACTTCTGAATTCTCTCTACTTCTAGCCATGGTTGTGCTGTTTCCATAGAGGACTTATATTACATTTCATATATTATAATGTAATTGAAAATGAGGTCACAGTAAGCAGAAACTACTTGCGGTTAGTTAGTTAAATTAAATTGAATTAAATTCTTGTAGGACTTCTAAATACATATACCAGAGCCCATATTTACAGCATCCTTATTTTTTTTTATTAGTAGCCTCTGCTTTGGCCTCCCCTTGCCTTGCCAGAGGTGAAAATTAAGTCAATTGTTTTCACAGTGTCCCTTTTAAATGGATTAAATGTCATAACTGGCATTTTTTTGGAATCTTGACAGACTTCTCTCCCACAGATCCACGTGTGAGAGCACAAATCCAAAAGCAGCAGTTTCGTGAGCGCACTGAAGCAGCATCACTGCACAGAGTTTAAGTCTGAATGCGAGGAGGTTCGTGCAGCAACAGTATATGTGAGTGCAGACTAACAGTTTAGAGCAGAGCAGATTTGCACTCGAGCAGAGGCTGTTTGAGAGAGAGAGAGAGGGCAGAGTTTTGAAATATAGCATTCCAAAATGTGATCAGTAAATGGAGAAAAAATGCTCTCAAATTGAAAGACCACGCTCTTGATTAAAGAAGGGCAGGCAAGGACATAAAAATGACCACAAAAAATCTTGGGAGGAGAAAAAAAACACCCTGGAAACATCATTGAAACTTCTACAGAGAAGGTCTTAGTTACAAAAACATGATTCTAATAAATGTTCACTTGAGTTAAATAATGTTTCTTTGTGGTTGCTTGTAGTTTGAAAGCTAAAATGTGTGATTCCAATATCAAGATACAGAGTGTTGGAGATTACACTGGTCAAAATAATGCTCAATAAAGCCTTTACTAGGAAGAGCTGAAGAAATGCAGGGAGAAAAGATGTAGGATTGACATTCCACTTAAATTTAAGGCATTATACCGAGGAGACAAATGTTTATAATAATGTTAAAGCTTTGTTTTAAATTTCTCTGGTACCTAAATATTCCGAATATCTCTCATGTTTAAGAAAAAAGACAAAAAAAGACAAAAAAAAAAGATGATACAGTAAAATATTTAAATTCAACGTGATTCCAGTAAGAGTCCATTTTTATCACACAAGGAATTTCCTGTGTTTGTGTTAAGTTTTTACAGATGTTCTTCTGATATTTAACTTTTGTTATTTCAAGTTAGCGCACTCGTGTGACTTAACTTTGACAGTAATACAAATGAGATTATAATTAGCTAAAATTAGCAGACAAGTATGTTTTCTACAATTTGTCATTCAACTAAATCTTCCCTGCAGAAATGAGAGCTACAGCCTCCGTACCTTCTGAGGATGATGCGGTTTTGTTTTGGTCCGTTTCTGCTTCTGAGTTCTGATGCTGCTGCTGCTGCTGCTGCTGCTGCTGCATGGACTCGCACTCTGTGCAATTTGAGTATTTGTGTGCGTTCACACAGAGCGCGTAGATGGCGTACTTCATGGCACAGAAGCCCTGAAACAAAACGATGTTCCTCTGCACACCAGGGTTGACAGGACTGACTGCCTCAGTGTCCTCTGGAAGAAATATTAAAAAAAAAAATTAATCACACATTTTGTTAGTGCACCCCATCAAATTCATCCTATGTTATCATTCCAGACTTGTTTAGACAATAAAAAGTGCACAACGCAAACCTGTTTCTGGTGAATCTGGCAGTTGCTGCAGTAGATCTAATATCCTGCGCTCTTCAAACTGAGCTAAAGGAGTCAGAGAGTGCAGAATATAGAGGGCTGAGTGATTGTCTAGAGCGTGAAGCTGCGCCAACAACGCCTCCGTGGAAATCCCTCTGCACACAGGGCAAAAACACAAAATTATCAATCAGTTTTATGTAAAGTGCAGAATCACAATGCAACATGCTGAGAGGAACAGATAAAATGAAGTTAAAGGGAAGTTTGGAAAGAAGCCAAGTAAATTCTGAATTTCAGGATAACCTGCAATCAGTCTTTATTCAAAGATTTTAACTGAACGTGGTTCTTTAACATCGAATATGAGGTCAAGCCAATAGATTTTATTGTTAATTGAATGAATAACTAGGAGGTCAATGTTGAGAAACCCAAGAGGTAATGCTGGTGTTTGTGTTCAGGTGTGGCAATGTAAGGCCTTGTAATTTAAAAAAAAAGAGACCTTAAAGTCACTCTCCGCTCATTAAATAAACCCCTAAACACTCATTTCTGCGTATTAAAGTTACACATGAAGTTACACAGAGCAGGTCTTCAAAATCAGCTTAAGCTTGGCCAAAATAGATGTTTTATGATTAAATGTTTTTGTCAAAATTCAAGGTGCAGCAGACTTTCAGTAGCAAAACTAGGATCACTGGAGAAAATAGCATTATAATTATTCAGTCTGGAAGAAACAAATGCATGAATTTCTCTCTGCTGTCCTTTCGTTTCTCCCCTTTATCCTCAACCCAACCAGTCGAGGCAGACGTCTGCCCTCCCTGAGCCTGGTTCTGCTGAAGATTTCTTCCTTCTAAAAGGGAGTTTTTTTTGTCACTAACTTCGTCAAATTTACTGCGTTTCTCTCTTCTATAATTTGATATTGTCTTAACTTCACAAAACAAAGTGCACTGAGATGACTTATGTTGTGACCCTGCATCGTCTAAATAAAACTGAACTGGAAAAAAAAAAGACTGATTGGTTTAGAATTAAATGACAGGAAAAAAAACAAATGCTTACGGATTGTTGTTTTTACACCATTCAAGTATTTCGAGCTGAGATGACAAAAGATTGGCAAACTCCTGCAGAACAGAGTCATTGGCTGCCACCTGAAATGACAAATATCTTGTCAGCAAAGCACAAGGGACAAATGGTAAAAATATCAGATCTGTGAGCAGTTACCAGAGACGATGAGCAACATGCAGCTAAGTGACCGGTTCTGACCTGCTCTTTGTGAAGGATGCTGAGCAGCGACTGGGCCGAGTTCAAGCTGCGACACTGAGTCCATCCGAGCAGCAGCAGCAGCCGAGACAACGGCTGAAACTCCAGCTGCAGCAAGTCTTTCAGCTGACCGAACTCCTCGTGTTTAATCAGGTCGAGTGCAGTAACCTACAGGAAGGAACCATCTTATCACATTACGGCGTTTCATCACATGCAGCTGCTAACCACCTTGACTCGACCACCAGGACGCAACAATCCTGGACTCTGTGCGCTCGATTGCTTCCCGTAGGAATTTAAATCTGGTTAGTAAACTGGTATTACAAAGTTTACGGTGGTTTTCTTACCAAGACCTGCTCGAGGAAGTGTTTTCCACTGCTAAGGCACTCAAAGTAAATGGACTTCCAGGCAGAGGGACGATCCTTGTGGCAGCATAAACTGAGGGTCAGCTTCTCTGCTTCGGGAAGGTCCACTGAGAATGAAAACAATGGAAACAAACAGAAGATTAGCAACACAAAGAATAGTTTTTAAAGGCTCTGTAAATACAATTTAAGCCAGCAATGCAAGTCTGATTCCTATATTCACTGTTACCTGATATGATATAAACTCAGTCTTTCCTCGTTACAGAGACACACCAGGTTGTAATCAGAATTAACATTATTACAGAAACCAGCCACAACATTTAAACAAGTTGCCTAATATTACGTTGGTGCCCCTTGTGTTACTAAATCACAGACTTTTGAAGGTCTCCTGTGGTTTTCCACTTTAAGTCATGATTGTTGTGAGATGGGGCCTTCATGGATTAGATTTGTTGTTAACGGTACATCCACATATGCTCATTAGGACCATGATCTGGGGAATTTGGAGGCTGTGATGATCCCTGGGTCTCCTCTTGAGGGGTACACAGTGTGTTCCTGGGTGACCAAAATGCTAGTTGCAGTCTTATAACTCTCTCTGCTTCACTCTTCAGGAACAACCAGGTTTAGTTATACTGCTTTAGTCTATTGTGTATACTTCAGTTTACACCTTACAACACCTGCACAACTGATGCCACTGATTTCTAAAACCAATTCTGTGCCTGTTTAATTTGGCTTTAACTTGGTTGAATTAACTAATAAAATACGCTTTAATGGAGCCAGGCCACAACATAATGAGTCAGCATCTTGATCTCTTGGTCAAGTTCCTCAAACCGTTCCTAAACAATGTCTGCAGTGCAGCAGGGAGTGCTATCCTGCTAAAAGAGACCAACAGGGAGTACCGGTGCCATTAAGGGGTGTATGTGATCTGCAGCAATGTCTAGGTAGTTCTTCCCATGGTGCATCTTGCTGCCATCTGTTCCCCAAGTAACTCAAGGCTCTGTGTGTTCTGGCATCTTTTTAATCACCGGGAGCATTTGAGGTTTTCAGCAGTTTCTGCTACAGTAGCTCTTCTGCTATATCAGCCTTTGCTTCCTGCAGATATCCAGGAGTTTAGGGTGCCAGTGACATTGTTGCTGGTTGTTTGTCTTCGCACCATGTTTGGTACCAACCACTGCACACTGAAAACACCCAACATCTGCTGTTTGGCTCTTGTACAAGTCTCTCAGATCCTCACGCTGCAACGTCAAGAACTGACTCTTGACTTCTTGCCTAAAATCTCCTCCCTCTTTATAGATGACTTCTTAATAATCAATGTTATTCAAACCTACACACACATTTCCAGCCAATATAAACTCTAAATATGGCAAATACAACTTTATAAAGTGAAATAAAGCCTAGGCAAACACCGCCAAAGAAACGAAACCAAGCAGAAAATGGGTTGAAGCTGTCACATGTGAATTTTCCTGACACCCAGACTTAAAGCCGCAGAAGCAGAAGTGTGAATAAAACAGGAAAGGGGTCAACGATTCAGACTTTTCAGTGCTATACATGTCTCAGCAGTGCCAATACCGTTGAAAATAAAACAAAAGAAAAGTCAAACTAACCGCCACAAACAGCTCAAAGAGGGAACTGATCTATAGGAACATGCAGCTGTGACATGCAGATGTTATGTCTGACTGACTGAAAGGAAAATCAAATACAGTAAACGGCAGCATCACGTATTATAACTGAAATCTGTCGTTTACTTCAGATATATCAGTCAGACGTTATTTATGTGACACTTTTCATACAAATGAAATGTAACACAAAGGGCTTTACTGATAAAGGAAATAAAAAATAACATTGTTATAAATGAAGAACTCGAAAACAGAGGGATTGAGGAACTGAGGAAACGCTATCCTAAACAACACCAGGCGAAATAAAATGGAATGAAACAAGATAAATAAATAAATTACATAAAATAATAATTATTAAAATATAGATAGATAGGTGAAGGGCAAAACAGAAGTCAAAAATCGTGAAAACAGAATAAGAAAATAATAAAAATGAAGTAATACAGTGAATATTGATTAGATTAAAATATGTAAAAAGTGATTAAACAGCAAAATCAATTAAGAAAATTAGTTTTAAGAAGAGAAATAAATAAATAAAATCCATCAAGCCAGTCAAATCAATCGAAAGCGTGAATAAAAAGGGAGGTCTTGAGTTTGACTTTAAAAATCTGTTATTGATCCTAAGACATGAAACAATGTTTGGCATCTACTAATGAATGTAAAGTTATCTGAGGGAGATGTTAACATGGCACCACAAACAGAGAAACATCAGAGCTAACTTGTCCTACCTCGTGTCTGAGGCGAGCTCCTCAGCAGGTGATCCCTCTGCAGCCTCAGAGCCGTGCAGCAGTAGGTGGTGACCAGAGCGTCGCATCGAGGCCGAAACAGGCAGCTGAGGATCCTCTCCTCCTTCAGGGGTCCGTCTCTGGCCGCCCACAGAGCTTCACACAGGGCCTCCAGCTGCCCTCCGCCCCGCTGAGAGCTCCACGGCATCACGGCCAGCACTCCGTATATCTCCTCCACCCAGTCCTCCACCTCCTCCGCTCTCCTCTCCGGCTTCCCCAGCTTCCTCAGCAGGTGCTGGATGAACGTGTGCTGCAGCGTCTGGTCCTCCGAGCATGACTGGTCCTGCAGGAGATGGACGACATGAGGAAATCTTTACATCTTTAAAGGATTTTCTGAGCTATATGTGGAGATTTTGGACATTTTGCTGCTATGTTTACGATTAGGCTGTCAACAAATAATTTTACTCTTGTGGTACCTGCTCAATCAGTTCTGAAATTCACATAAAAACCCTTTTGGGTTTTTTTTAATTTTTGGGATCAAGTATTTCATATTAAAAAGTATTTTATATATTTTGCTTCTGTTGTTGTGACATGCAGCCACATATGGTGCAGAAGGTACCATTAGGTGACCTCTGCACTCAAATATTTTGTTAATATGCACTCAAACGTTTCCTGTCTGTCTAATCCTCTTTAATATATTTCAACTTACCCTTGATCAGAGATAATTTAATCTACTTGTCCAATATTGCAACTTCAGAATCAATGGCATAATGAGAAATAACAGTGAAGTTTTTTCTTCAACAGTTTCTGAGATATTGTCAAACATAGCCTCAAATTTCAATGTATGAAAAAACTAAAACGCAAAAAAAAATATCAAGAAAATATTGATTGATACATCAAGTTAAAGTTGAACAAATAGCTTTATACAATCCAGATTTTATTCTTTAAAATGTTTAGGCAAATCAGAAATGGTTGAGCAGAAAATTCTTCAAAAAGATTTAAAGAAGAACATTTTTAAGAATTCGTTGGATATTAACTTGAGGCTGATTTATAAATTTGGTATTTCGCAACATCAGAACTTCTGTAAAGGGATGTAAGGCTCTCAAAGTCACATCTGTACAGATGTTTCACCCATGACAGTCTGAATACTGACAGATCAGTAATTAAAATTATCCTCTTGCACTTCATTCTACTGTTTTCAGTGCATTCATGTGGTTTGGGAGGGACAGCTGATTTATACACTAACTGACGAGATGCTGCTTTACATGAGAATTCATGTGATGTGAGGCTGAACTATGAACAGAGCTCACATGTTGCCTACAGAGCATTTTACGAGGCTGCTCTGTTGTAATTAAAACTGTCAGACTGTGTACAAACTGATTTACGTGTCTGATAACCTTTTGTTAAATCTGAGGGTTTCTGATACCATCTACAAACTGGAAATTGCAGGAAACTGTCCGACTCAGCTGCCGACTTTGAACACCACATCTGTATGTTCCATCTCTATGCTGCAGTCAGTGGCAGCAGTGAAAGATCAGCTGCTATACATCCTCTTCTTCAGCCCAAGTGGAGCTCTTCTCTCCTCCACATCTTTGTTTGCTTTGTGCCATTTAACATAAACATCCCTCATTCACACACCTCCACTACTGAATACACTAACTGCCACATCATCGTGGTATTTTGGTTTGTTTTATCTAAAATCATGTTTTTCATTCACATAAATGTGTCAGTCGTTGGCCTTCACCCTGCCTAGTTATTATGAGCTTTATAAATCCATTCATTCGCAGTACAAAAGAAGACACATCCACCTAAAGTAACAGTATGACACTGTGATAAACGTTGGCTATTCAAAGTCATGACACTCTACCTGTAAGAAATGCGCCAACGTCTGTGCGAGTCGCGGCTTCTTTTTCTCCAGCAGGGTTTGCAGACACGACTCGACGGCAGCGTCCGTTGTTCTCGACTCTTCTGAGGTCTTTTGATCAGAACGTGAGTTGGAGAAGGCCTGATGCAACTCCTGCTGGAACACAAATTACACATAATTAGGAGTTTTATTATCAAATGTGAGCTCAATTACAGACTGGAGTTAAAAAAGAAAAAAAGTAAAACACTGACCTTGAGAACAGTCTCTGATATGCCCTGTGACTCCAGCTCCTCCAGAAGTAACAGGAACTCCAGCTCTCTTTTGACGCTGGGAGAAACCTAAAGTGAAGAGAAAAAACAGTAAAGTTGCTTTTCAGCCTATTTCACAACAAAATATTGTCTTTTCAACCTTTGTATTGTGACTATTTTAGTTTATTCTTTAATACATTTAGTGTTCCTGCTGCTTGGTTTTATCCCATTTGTGTTAATCTGCTTACTGCAGAATCTTTGTCTAAAAAGGTGATGAAAAAATGAAGTTATTAGATAATAATCACCTGTAGCTTTAATTTACTTTGCAAACAAACCATCATGTTGGGACAGAAATGTGGAATGTGTGTTCATTCAGAGCTGTTACAGAGCAATAAATATGCTTTAAAAAAAAAATTTTTTCATCTCTGATGAGATTTGACAGCAACAATATGACAACAATCTGTAAAATAGATAACACAAGATGCCTTTATTGTCACTGTATTCAAAATACAACAAAATTCAATTGTTTTTACACCAAAAAATCCTAAAACATCAAACACAATCCATCCCTCATCACAATCATAAAAAAAACAAAAACAAACGAAATAAACAACACAACACAATGTAATTTTTTAGGTTTCCTTTCTAGTTTGAATAATTATAATATATATTTTTAAAGAATTACCCGTTCCTCTGTGCGTTCCTCCAACACCTGCAGCCAAAACCAGGCCAGTCTGTGCGGGCTGCCGACGGACTCCCATCTACAAAACCATCATTGAATCAAAAACACAAACAAAACAGAGCTGTACCACAAATAATGAGGAGAATTATTTAAGAACAAATTAATTTATGTGCCTCATATGCTTAAGTATATGTTATCATTTAGCTCCAAATGAACTTCTACAAAGCACCACTGTGGAAAACACACAAACATCCTGCATGACATGTAATTCTTCTGATAATTTGCACGTGACTCACTTCAAGCTGTGAGGATGAGTGACAATAGCTCTGATTATGACTCGCAGCTGCTCTGAAAGTTCTCCTCCAGAGTTAACCAGCTGCGGCACACAGGCACTGGCCAGCTCCCACTCCGCGTGCTGCAGGCACCTCTTGAAGTACTCAAACAGGTCCTGCAGTGACGTCTCGGCTTCGCGGCCAAACGGATGCATCGTCACCTTCGCCGTGACTCTCCTCTACTCAGCGGTCACAACTGAAATCGCACCTTTAGCAGGAGCAGCCTGGAGCGTTCTGCACCTGGAACCCAACGAAAAGACAAGGCCTGAGATCATTTCTTTAAAGATATGATTGGTTAGATTGGTCCAGCCCTGACATGCTCTCTGGGACTTTCTTGCCGAAAGGAATTTTTGGCATCTCCAAGAAAGATTTTATCTGGTGCCAAAGAAAAACACCAGCAACAAAATGTTCAGAACTGAGTGTTTGTTAGTTGGGCTTTCATTTACTCATGAAAAATTGACATTTTCTTGTCACATTAGGGCTGAATAATAGAATATTGCAACACTGGGATATTGATGCGTAATAGTCACATTTACAGGAAGCTCAAAGTGAAGT